TTGGGAGGTGCTAACACATCACTGACAGTGCTCTTAGAAGAGTGTGATGCTAAATACAGTAGAGATCATGAGAAATTGATGATGATGTGGCATTAGATTGATTAAATTTGTCGCACAAGGTTTTTTTAACAGAAGGAAATATTACATCCCTATATATTCTATTGATGCCCAAACATCTGTTAATCAAGCATGCTTTAAGCCTCTGTGTTGTATTGTACCAAAAGGGTGGTAGTGATGGTATGCTGTGTATGCATTGGGTTTCCTATCTCAGATTCAGCTGTGCCTTAGTTAAAGTAGTAAACTCAGTGGGTGCCATCTTTAACTGAAGCAACCTGTGTATACATGCATATGACAGGAAAGCCTAAAAACAGGGTTTTTTGTCTCCAAAAGTATAGCTTTTGGCATACCAAATGTATGCAATATATTTATATTATCTGAAAGGCAAAAAGTAAATATAGATCACCAAAATAAAATGTGTAGGTACCAGAGGTTATTTCTTCAATGTAAGGTACACAGTTATGAGTGCAATGTAAGCTACAGATTTTGACTACAATATGAGGCACAATTATGACTACAAAATCTAGAACACATTTGTAACTACAGTATAAGCTACACATGACCAATATAAGCTACACATGACCGATAAAAGCTACACATTACGACTACAATATAAGCTACACATTATGACTACAATATGAGCTACACATTATGACTACAATATAAGCTACACATTATGACTACAATATGAGCTACACATTATGACTACAATATGAACTACACATTATGACCAACATTAGCTTCACATGACCAATATCAGCTACACCTTTATGACTATAATATGAGGTACACATTATGACCAATATAAGCTACACATTATGACTACATTATGAGCTACACATAATGACTACAATATTGGGTATGCATTATGACTACAATATAAGCTACACATAATGACTACAATATAGGCTATGCATTGTGACCAGTATGAGCTACACATTATGACCAGTATGAGCTACACATTGTAACTGCAACATGAGCTACCCTTTATGACTACAATATAAGCTACACATTATGACTACAATACATGCTAGGCATTATGACTGCAACATAAGCTTCACATTATCACTACAATATAACCTACACATTATGACTACAATATAAGCTACACATAATGACTACAATATAGGCTATGCATTATGACCAATAAGAGCTGCACATTATGACCAATATGAGCTACACATTATGACTGCAAGATAAGCTACACATTATGACTGCAAGATAAGCTACATATTGTGACTACAATTTAAGGCACAGATTATGATTGCAACATAAGCTACACATTATGACTGCAACATAAGCTACACATTATGACTGCAACATAAGCTACACATTATGACTGCAACATAAGCTACACATTATGACCGCAACATAAGCTACTCATTATGACTACAATATAAGCTACACATTATGACAGTGATATATGGCACATATTAAGATACTGTCTCTGTAGTGTATTCAATGAAAGCAAGTTGAAGGGAGCAATATCTACACTTTGTAATGTCAGATGAAGAATAACAATGGAATTACAACTGACGTGGACCGAAATAGCTTCAATAAAGCAGTTCCATATCGCAATATCTGACAGGGCAACAAGGGACACTGAATGTATTACAGTGGAGGAACAAGATGAGTGGAAAGGTAAATGCTCCTGTTTTGGAGGCAAATGCTAGCTTAGGATTTGACCCGTAGTTATGACTGTCAGCAAGACTCCGAGAATGTAAGAGTCTAGGACAGCCCAGACAGTCGATCACAGTCAATCCAAAACTTACATGAGGCCGACATGTTGAATGGTCAAGAAAGGGAATACAAAAGGCTAGGAAGTCAGTCCCATTAAATCAATAAATTTGCACCAAAACAGATGCTACCAGGCTGTTAATTATCTCTTGCAGTTTGAGAGGGATTTCATTGTCATTCTCTTGGGAGGCTTCTCTTAAGGTTACAGTTGTCCAACTCAGGTACTGTAATTGTGTGCAGTGGTATACCATGGTCTACAATTGTATTCAGATGTCGTCATATGGTGTGCCTCATACTGGGGTAAATAAAGTAGCTCCGCTGAGAATTTCTGTTTCTATTTTCTGTTATTTGATATAATGTGTTCTTTCATGCATATGAGTTGATTGTAGTCATTATTTGCAAAGCCTTTATCATGATTGTGGTGTAGCTATGCTTCTCTGCAGTGAGAGTGGTAATGTGGTGAAGTGGGTAGTGCATTCCATGTCATGCTAAATGCTCTGCTTCCATTCCATAAATTGAATTCAGTGGTATCACAGAATATACCCATAACTTCTCGGTTGTGTTGGTTAAGGCAATAATATTTTAGTTTAATACAAAATTCAATGCTGAATTGGATGTGCCACCAGTTTATTACACTTTGAACAATTTGTTGGCAGAAACTGTTATGTTGAATTGTGAATGAAGATCAATTTATTTCAAAAACATTTAACAATTCCTAAATAAAGGTATGATCAAATGTCCTGATCAATATCGTGTTACTGAAGGTGGTGATGTTTGAAGGGAGAGATGGCCATGAGAAGGAGAGTTTCATGAGATGTGACAAACTGAGAGGATGACCCATAAAATCCCCATTTATAGTTCCAAGGTACTTCCATTTGGCTAGCATTACCATTTCACAAATGAAACAAAATGTGGTTAAAAGCTTTCATTTATGAACATTTTATGCATCAATACTGTTTATTATCTTGATTTTATAATAATTGCATCTCTTCAACATCCACTTCATCAAAGTCCTCCAAAGCAGCTCCAAGTTTTGCAGCTTGCCCTTCAGCTGTACAATGTATTACCAGTCTAAGCATGAATAATCACAATCAAATCAAATGGATTTATTTTTGCATTCCAACGCTAACCTATTTTCAATAAAAAAAACATTTTTGAGAGGAATCACAGGCTAATTCCAACAACATTTTGGTTGTGAAGGCTGAACAAGAAAGGTCAGAGCTTCAGAGGAAAATTGGATTGCCTCCATGCCAATCTCTAGATGAGGCTCTGCATAGGCCAAGGCTTGGTATGGGAAGGAGATATTAGTCTATCTGTTAAAGGGAAGAAACCTACTTAATCTAGTTAGGTTTTCTTAGCCTTGCTGTACAGCTTTGGAGCAAAGACTAAAACTTTGTAGCAGTAGTCCTCATGGCCACTCACAGGCTGTAGACTGGGCAGACAGCTGAGCGTGGATTAGGAGATTATTTCACACTGATATCAATATATTGATCCAAAGTCAGCTGAACGAGAGAGTGGCGAAGAGAGAGACGGAGTGAGAGAGATCGTGAATTGACGATTTTGCCATTGCTGAGGCGGGGAGGGTTGAGACCCACATGCATACAGTGGTAACAGCAGCTGTCACTGTCATTGTACATTGTAGAGTACTGCCAGTCCACTGAGCCAGTCGCTCACGTCGCCTTACTTCATGTCTGCTGCTTGCATCTGGCTGTACAGCGCTGCTGCGTCTGCTGCTACTGGTTTGACCGTCTGCTTGTGTGCTGTGCGGCAGTGGAGGTTGTAGGGTTAACCCTGACTTGATGTATCAAGACTGGCTCTTGTGACTGGGCGTTTGTTTGGAAGATTTGTCTTGAAGTGTTTCCTGGAGGTGTTGAAAGGAAGATTTACCATATATTTGATCACTTTATGATGTGATGTGCTTGAGGTGAGGATATATTTCAGCATACTTACACTGCATATCAATGAAATAGATGTCATCCTTTGCGTGTTGTGTTTTGCCTTGGATAATTAGAAGTGTTTCACTTCAGGCTGAAAGTTGAAGAATTACAGATAGATCACTTCAGACTGGTGGACAAATTGCAGTGAAATGTTCTATAGATGTCTCCTTAAATGTAATTCCTTCTGATATCAATGATCTATAAGCAGTCACTGGAGCTATTGTATTGCTCCATCATCAAGCACGTATGCAGCTTTAGTCGCTAGTATCATCAGACACAATATATAGATTGGCTATCTTTCAGTTCTCTTTCACTCATAGTATTCTGGCTCCCCTCCGCCTGATCATAATTACTGGATATTCTTCTGACACCAAAGCCTTACCTAAGTGAATTTTAGCAGCGTTCTGCCAAAGCTTTTATTGGAGCTTAGGACACAGTCTGCGTTTGACACAACAGGCTGGTATTCCAACCCTCTGAAAGTACAGATACACGTGGAACCAAGGTTTGTCCAGTTCATCTTATTTTTGCATGCAGAAAATGATCCCTATCAATTTGTGGCAGGAGCAGACGACACGATTAGATTTTCAATTTACATAACAGACCGGGAAACCCCTTTCTGACGGCATCAGCAGCCTAGTTAGGAGAACCAACATCAAGAAACACGGAAGAAGTGGGCTTGGACTTGATCACTCGCTTCTGCCAGGAATGGATGTTCTCTGACTCCCTGAAAATCAGCAGGTACGGCTGACTTGCTTGTTTACCGCACCTAATTATGGATATCTGTGGATGTAGTGCATGAATTGCGACTCTTGCTGCACATTACTTGAAAGCCCAGTGGGATGTGTACATGACCACTATCAATTTTATGCATACTATCTCACTAAGCTTACAATGGTAAGGGATTCAACGGACAGCTACATGCGCTCGTCAGGGGAAACACATACCTTTCAGCGTATCATGTAACGTGGGGAAGCGAGAGAGGCACGTGGACGAGAGAAGGAAGAGCAGTGAGGATCATAGGGAGGGATGCTGCTTCATGGTCTTGTATGGCTCCACAGAGGCCCACCATGTGGGGATTCTTAAGGCAGCATTTTGGATTTTAATTTGATTTGTGATTAATGGATTATGGAAGCCTAGGATTTTGAATTTGGATGTGGAACATAGGCTGTGAATTTTACTATTGTTTGAATTTGAGTGTTTCTGTAAACTTTGGATTTTACCATTGTTCATGATATGGTGTTCCTATTGCATTTGGTGTGTGCATGAAGTGATCAGTTTGCAACTGTATTTGAATTCACGGGAAGGCACGGCAGGAGTGTACCATTGGACAAGGTGTACTGGGTCTGGATACTAATAACATACCAACTGGTGAGTACTCCGATTATTTTCAATGTCACCAATGAGGCTCTTTATTGAGACCAAGTAATATATGGCTGGCTGGGAACACCAGCTTGAAGTTGTATACATACCATTGAAATAATTGATTATTGCCTCAGGATGAACATTGTTGCTCATTTCAGGATAAATTTCCCTTGGGGCATGAAGCATGGTACGTTATTCACAGACACTATTTGTATGCCAAGTTCTGCTTGAAAATAAATACTGGTCAAAGCACATAGGATTGATAAGAAATAGATTTCATAACCTATGGAAAGTGGTAATCTGTTGTGAGCCTATTTTATACAGGTTGTATATTGGCAAGTTACAAAGTATGTGGTTTACTCAGCTACTTAGTACATGAACATTTCAATAGAGAGGATATTATGAGCTTAGCCTTGGCCAGCTTAATCATCATTAACGAATACTTTTGTTTATTTTGTAGAAGTGTGTAGTAGATGCAATTAAAATAATTGTTCTGAGGAGAGTATTTGAAAGTTTCACTACCAATCCAATGTACATGTTCTACCAATTAGCCATATTGAACATTCTTCTTTGAAATAGTTTATATTGATAATGTATGTAACTTTACAGTTGCTGTCCTGTTTGCATTGTTCATTGTGTCACACTGATGCACACAATGCAAAAGTGTTCTGGTTTTTATACTTAATGGTTAATAGTACAATATCTGTTTCATTATGAAAAAGTGGAAAATCTACATTTGATATATATCTTGACTCCCAGTGAAAATGCTAATTTGACATTTAGCAGTGCTCACACTCTGACTGTACACAATAACTACGAAAGGTATAAAAAAGGGTTTAAAAACACCTGCCCAACAAACTAACTTCGAATCTGTAAAGGTCATAAGTGTTCTGTGGACTACACATATAAGGAAGAGTACAACATTTGATGTGAAGAGAAAAATGTGAAACTCATTTTTGCTTCTGTGACGCCCACTGTTAAAGAGCCTCCCTAATGAGCAAGCCGGTATTTCTTCTCTCTTTCTCTCCCATTGCACAGCCCTCTTCCTATGTAAGTGTCAGTCAGTCTGGAATCACTTGGTCATTGGACAGTTCAGAAGGAGTTTTTTTTTAAAGCACTATAGACCATGTGAGCCTTCAGAGCACACTGAGTGTTCTTGTATCCTCCTTGTATAGGCTTTTGTTAGTAGTGTTTTGTATTGATTGCCCTGGAAATAACTGATTGGAAGTGTTTACCGTGCATGGATTACTGTGTACTGGGGGAGTAATATCCAATACAGGTAAGATATTAGTAATACTATCATCCGGTGGATTATATTTAGCGAGCAAGACAACTGTTATGTAGCTGACAGCTGATATTGAATTTATAATTGATTTGTTTCTGAATTTCTACAGATCATTTTACCATGGTTACAGTTGAAGGTGTTTTATGGAGAGAGACATTGCGGATGTATCTTTATTGGTATCAAGGGTTATGTGACAGTGATGCAATGGCAAGTAAAAGTATGAAGATGATGGTGGCGGTGATGACGATGATGATGACGACCATGATGATGATGATGATGATGATGATGATGATGAGTATACTCAAGGAATGCATCTTTTGTAGTGAAGATATTTACGATAATGCTGAATAAGTATTTGAAACCGAGGACAGTTATCAAAGTTATCAAATTTAAGGGTATGAGGTAGCCTAGTAGTTAAAGCATTCAGTCATCCCACCGATCTTCCAAATCAGTACAATGTGTGAAGGCTGTGGTTGTGTCCTGCCATGATGGGGTCTAAATGTACTGAACATTGTGTACAGGATAACAAACTACATGCCCTTGGCAGGGAAATTGAGAAACATATGTCATTTTATATTTTAAAATATTTTTCTTTTCATGAATATGTGGAGTTCGGAACATTTTAATTCAATTGAATTCTTGCTATCATTTGCTGCAGACTTTGGGCCAAATAACGGCCTCTGAGCGGGTTCAAATAAATCCCTGGGTGTATAACCCAACTAACTCACTCATCAGTTGCTGTACTCTAACCACATTCAGTATGAGGTTATAGACAAGCAGAACTTAACTCCCAGACACACAGAATAGGTAGTGGTTGTTAGATTTTATTGGCAATGACAACAACACTGCCACAAAGGCACTGCTACTGACTGGGAAGATCAACAAGACATGAAAAGAAATTCCTGTATGTATATTTGAGTTGGTATGCTTCGGGTTTGAAGCTCAAGGGTGATGTTTACCTCAAGTCAAAGAAGAGAGAGATGAAATGTCAAGTTGGCCAAAATTACAAATAATGACACTTCATTTGATTCCTGAGATGTTCATGTGAGATATCAGCTCTGGCAGTGGAGGAGGGGAATTAGAACAGTGGATTAGAGTAAGGGGATTTCTGGGCCACCACTCCCTAGGGCAGTAATATTGTACCAGTAACATTACTCACATCTATTTAAACTGATTACAGTAAATGATACAGTGGAAGGAATGTTATGTTGTAAATAATTCATTAGACTGGAGAGTAGCCATGACATGTATTTGGAGGGCTCATCAACTGCTATGTGGTAATCGAGTACTGTTTTCTCAGTGGTTTTGGCAGGTGCTTGTTCATCATAATGCTGTATAATAGAAGTTGTGAGATTTTGTGAAGCAGGTGTGTGTCAATAATTCATTCTTGTGTGCATTTATTAAAACAAGTGCTTGGTTATTTCGCTTAATGACCTGTGTGTTGAGGAGAGCAGGTGCTTCTCTTTCTAAGAAGAAAATATGCATTTATTGATGTTATCTTAATGTCGGAATTGGTTGCAGTTGCTTATAAAAATTGTTCAAATTGGTGTTTATGTTCAAACAAGTGAATATTAGCTTTAGGGGATTATTGATGGAGCTGTTTGTAAATATCAAATACAGTTACATATTCTAGGATCTAAGGAGTGAGTTAGATATCTCATGCCTATTTGCAGTCTTGTGGCCTTGTGGAGGTATAAAGGAATCATTTCCCCAATGACCAACCCATATGTTGGGAACAGAACCTGTGTTTCCTGCATGACAAGAGAACACATGAACCACCAACCCAACCCACGATACAAGATTCAGTGTTAAATCTAAAATGCAGGTTTGAGTTAGGGAATCAATGTTTTATTCTTCAGTCTCAAATGTTAGAACTGCAAATTACGGCTATATATCACAGTAGACTAATTGAGTCTGTGCCAGATAAACCTTGTGGTTAACCATGTCCATTGCTTGTCAGGAGACAGCATTGCTGTGATCTGATGACAAAGACAATCACACAGGTCACATCTTTTAACCACCCAATACCCAATTGAGTTTACTCTTAACATAAACATTGATAAATATAGACAACTGAAGATTCTTTCCTCCCTGCAATGTGATTTATAGAAGACACCTGTTATACATGGTGAAACAAGTGATCTATTTGAATAGATGTATGTCTGTAAAATATTGCATCACTTCAACGTGAATGTTGAAGCAGGATTTCCATTTGATTACCATTTATGAAAAATAAGACTTTTTGTTTTCCTTTTGATAAGCCTGGCAGGTGCATGTAAAAAAATGCTAACATACATACCAGGAACGTCTCATCTCTATCGTAACAACACAGGGCTGTGAGCTCAATTAAATAAAAAATTCAAGTGTCTGTCCATACCTTCAAGCAATAATATTTCTTAACAAAAAGTAGATTTAGTGTTCAATAGATCTTTTCAAATTTGATGAATAGAATTATTTTGTGGTTTCAATACCAAGTAATATGCTGAATTACTTCCTATAAATTCCATGAAAACAACAGGTGTTTTATGGTTATCATATTCTTAAGTAGGTGTAGAATGCTACAGTATTGTCCTTTCCTGATCATCTATATTCATAGTTATGTATTACGCAAGCTTTATGTTATTGATTGGGAAATCTCTGGTTGATGCACATTTCATGGGAAAGAAGCCTACAGATATGTCTGTGCAAAATATTGGTTCACATGTCTGTTTGAAATGTGACACATATGACAGGCTCATTATGTAAACAAGAATATGTAGTAGATAGTTGTCGTTGCATTTATCTTGCAACAGGTGCTTGTGTATATGACAGACGTATATGTGAGTCCATCTGTTGATGAAGTTGTCAGCATGGTCTCTCCGTAGCAGCTGTCATAACTATGCTCGTGGGTTCATTGTTTTTTTGTGCATGCTTGCTCATCAGTGTGAATACATAGTTTTGAATACCGATATAAGAATATTGAAAAGCATTGTTGTGCCAACCTGTGGAATGATCAAGAACTTGCTCATCAGTGCCAGGTTTGATAAGCGATGTGAGCTTATTGTGAATCCCATTGTCAACAGATGGGAGGCTTATAGAAGCATTCACTTGCCATGTTGAAATGAGGTCCCCGCATCTGTAGTGCATACAAAGTCCATGGTTGGTACCTCTGGCAGGAATGTGTCACAAAGTTGATAAGAAATGACATAAGACCTGTATATCAACTCACCTAGTTTGTGAACTTAACATATTTTACAGAAAAAACAAACAGTTGTGAAGTTAGTTAGTCACCAAGGAAACAGCGTAGGTGTTATCGGGTTTATTTTCTCTGTTCATAGCCAGAACATTCCCTTGATATCACCAATGATCAATTCAATCAATGAATATTTTAATTAGATACCATCTACCAATAACATGAATGACATCGCTAGTTTGTTCAATTAGGATGGTCATGCTTCAGTGACAGTATGTGCCTTGATTCTCTAGGGGACATTTTATGAGTATTGAGTATGGACGTATCGTCATTAATCGTACCACAAATGAATGGTATGGATTATAAAAGCAACACTCACTCACTCACTCACTCACTCACTCACTCACTCACTCACTCATTCCCTCCCCCCTCCCCCCCCCAATGGCTGTCAACACTGGGTATCAGCTAACTGTGTGTTTAAAAGCTTCATTGGGAACCTGTTTTTGTGTTCCCTTTTACTAGTACGAGATATTAGTGTACTGTCAAACC